GTTTTTGTGGTGCATCTGTATCTTATTTTGAAGGGATATATAAACATTACCATAGCGACCAGAGACAGGGCAGTGGTCGAGAGGAGATGAGTAGAGCTTGCGATTCTTAAGTCTGGTTTAGACGGCAAGATTTAAGAATTGTCGGCCGATTCTCCAAACCTCACAAACCGATTCCAGTCACAAACATCCCGATTCCAGAGGATAATTCAGTAAGACCCCCAACATAGCAGGAATTTAGAATAACCAAACACGGATGACGATGTAGGAGCAATAGTGATAGTTTGTGGACTCATTTTAAGAGATAAAAGACCTAACAAAAATAAAAGGCGGCGGATAAAAGACGACGGGAGCAGCCGCTCTATTTGCTGCACTATGATTTGGAGATGACTGTTTTTTCATAGTTAACATTTTTAACTGAATAAACAGATATAATAATGACCTTTAAATATAATAATAAACATTTCCACATATCATCTCCGATATCCACTGGACTCTCAGTTGAGGATATGTCAGCTGTTTGGGATTCCCCTCTGTTCTTACGTCACCATGATTTCTGATTGGCTACCTGTCACATTCAGCAGGTTGTATTCTCGTTCCCAGTCAGGGAAAACCCCACAGGCTGCGATAAAAGGGCAAAGAAAACCAAATTGGGCATATTCAGGATTTAGAGGGAACACCAATATGCAGAAGTCTTATCTGATGGTTCATTCCCCCCCAGGCCGCAGCAAAATTTCCAAGTCTTGACTGGTCTGCGGTAATAAAAAGGTTGGGGACCACTGTTCTTCAGAAGAAATTATCTTGCCATTGTTTTTGCCTTAAAGTTAAGTTTGTGGCAGTGCAGTAACGAAGTGGTATGTGGAGCAGCAGTAGGCTGGCCCATTAGCAGGCCCAAGGATGCCGAACTTGAGGAACTCATGGACAAAAGTGGACTGATAGGGTTACAGCGCTTCATTGGAGTTTGGATACATAACAGTCAGTGTTCACAAGACCTCAAGTGACTGAATATCACGAGATTAAATTTTGCAGTAACCGAATTAGCGAAGAACCTCATGTCTCACACAGAAGAAGGGTTTGTAGAGGAGAGCATGCTCCTGCAGTAACTTCCGTCATCAATGCCAGCACAAACACATCATGTGCAGTACAAACCGTTTAACCCTCACAAGTATGCACATGAGCCACAAAAACAGCAAATCTGATCCACACAAAGGGCCAATGGGCACAATGCGACACACTCACACACATGTACAAATACATACACTTATAGTATATGCCTGTTTAGTCTATTTTTTTTTTTACAAATTGCACTAAATATTAAAGACAAGAAAGTCTTTCTTATCAAGGACACCGAAGACTAATAGGTGTCCATGAGGTCTCCAATATACCTCTACATCGCCCCACACTATTAGAAACCTTGTTGAAAGATCTCCAGCTCATGAGATTCTGATTTACCTCAAAAGGCAAAGGAATAGCTTCTAAAAGGTAGATTTTAGTTCAACATCACAAAAACCTGAATTTTCCTTTTTTTTATGGTAGCCAGTGCCATAGAAGCATCCCCACCTCATGTTCACTTTGAAACATTTGTCTCTGTCTTCTTGCATCTCAGGATCTGCAGCAACCAGGGAGGAAGCTCACCTCACACGGGTCACTCACTCAGAGGAATGAGAGGAAGGGAACAGAAATCTGTTCTGCACAGTCATGAATATTGGGATGAATAAGTCTCTGTTGTTGCACAGTTAGTGAGTATCAGTGCAACAGGAAATAAAGGGAAAAACGGGTGTTACTTGTCAGGATTATCTGTAGGACTTTCCCTGCTGACAGGTTTGCACAGGATAAGACCCATGTCAGGTGTTTGCTGGCTCAAACCAACCAACAGTGTTAAAGAAAAAAAATGAAGATTTTCCCATAACGGCCTCATGGGGTTCAGATGATCAATCTGGCCTCAGTTTGACAGGCTATTGTGCTCAGCTGGGGGTGAAGCTTTTCTCTGACACGTCAATGTGATATCTTAGTCGAAAAATGTCTCTCTCTTCCTGGTTTGTCAAACCAGTTGGAAGGAGACAAAGTACTAAAGATGTGTTTGCAAACCTTCAGCTAAACTATACCGTAGCCCAGTTATACCGCTTTGAAGTAGGTAAGGACCCCTGAGTTCATTAAACCCAGTAACTTACAAAGAATAACTCTTATTACACTCTCGTGTTTAAACCTATGCTGAGTTTCACTCACCTTAGCGTAAAAATACACCAGTACTTTTCTATTCCTTTCACCCAATAATATAACTATGAGTAAGAATAATAAACTCCAAATACTATTCTTATAAAAACCAAACACACACCTGTATGAGATTTGAACTTTTGAACACAATAATAAATTCACAAAAATGCAAAATGTTTCAGTCTTGGTTTCACAAAACTTATGTTAATTAATGTGGGCCCACACTTCAATGTCCACCTAAGCCAGCAATAATTAACTAAAATATAGTCCCAAAACAAAAACCCGTTGCAGGCCTGATGTGATGATGAAAGCGTGGAACTGCAATACCTTACTCCAAGGAAAATCTTGAACCTTCTTGAAATTTCACCTGTCCTTATAGTCCCAGTTGGCAAGATGTCTTCAGCTCATTCACCAGTCCCTCGGTCCACAGGATTCAGGAACAGCAGGAAAGCCCAACGCAGACACAGTCCCCAAGCACAGTCACAGAAACTCTCAGTAAGCTCATCTTTCTGCAGTAGGCTCCCACGACGGCAACATTAGTTAAGTCTTCTGTTAGCCGAGTTAGCTCACAGTACTCACTGTCCATTCACTGTGCTAATAAATGCTAATGCGTTAGCGAGCATTACATATGACCTTCCACCTACTGTACAGTGAATTCCGGTCTGAAATTATCACAGTAGCTATAAGAATGTAAAGTCGATATCTATAATCAGACTGTCGAGTTGAAAGCCTATATATCTGCAAAAACACTTTCTTAACTCCGCCACGTTTATTCAGCGCGGCTCATCTCGTTCCTTTCTCATTTCTATCACACTGCACGATACTTCCTGTCTCTCCACTCTACTCTCCTATCCCTTCCTGATCCTCCAAGTACACCTCGCTGCAGCAAACAGAAAGGGGCTCCGGAAGTGAAAGGGGCGCCATTTCCTGTATTATCTGCGGTCTCCTGTTTTTATTTTCTTTTTAAATTTGTGATACATCTTCAGCTTTAGGAAGGAGTTCCACTCTCAGCATGTATTTGAACTTCAATCTTTTACTTAAGCGCAGCTCACAGTTTTTAACAAATTCTGTAGTTTTCGGTGTACTTCTAAATCTGCTCGTTAGTCGCATCTTTTCGGGGTCTACTGCTGCCTCTAGTGGCGTGTGGGTGGTAACACAACTAATCTAATTACATTACTAAATCAGAATACCACAAAGTCTATATTATTTATTATCAATTCTGGCATTATTGGAACAGTAAAATATAAATTCCCTCACAAAAAAAATACCTTTCCATTTTCTTAAGAAAGTAGAGCTAATTAAATGACAAACAAGACCTGAAAGTGATTCCAGTTTCACTTGATGGCCAACCTGTTGAAACTGTGGCAAATTTTAAATTCCTTGTGTCATTCCTGGACAGTCAGCTCAACTTTGCTGAAAACACTGACTATATCTTTAAGAACTGTTCTCAGAGACTCCATCTTTTAAGAAGATCCAGTGATCTTGGGGTTACCCCAACCTCAAGTTGGAGTTAAAATGTTAAAACTTAACATTCTAACTAGAGTTTTAACTTAACTCAAAACAACATTTTAACTCAAGTTTTAATTTTTCATCTCCTCGGCTGGTTTGGTCACATGAGCTGTAGATTAACAGATGTAACAAATATGGGCTATGCAGCTAACAGCGGCTACAAAAGCAGCATCAGAAGATGGTTCTTTAAGGAGCCGGAGGTGTGAATGAAGACGCAAAGCAATGTTGTAGTTTTGATGTATATATATTAGTGATTTGAGGAAAAACAAACAACAAACAATTACAAATACACAGTGAGAGACAAGTTAATTCAAAATAAATAAAGTCAAAGATCAGAGTTCTTGTCGTTTTCCTAGCTCGCCATCGGTTTCAAAGAGGATCTGAGGATCTGATCCATCATGAAATAAAAAAACCCGACCTAAAAGGCCCAAAAAACCCCATTAAGTGTTTAAACAATTATGTGCAATTATTAAATATCTAATAATTAAACTAAACATTTCAGTCAGGTTTAAATTAACCATAATTTAAATAAACAAAAAGAGTATCAATTAATTTCAAACTAATCAATTTAAGGTTAAAGTTGAAATCAAAGTTAACTTTCAAAATATCAAGGAAGATAAAATAAATTAACTCAAATACTCAAGCAAAATGAGAAAAAGAAAATAAATATACTGTGGAATATCAATTTAAATGTAGCTACATCCTATGTTAATACATTTCATTACAACAGTGCCAGAACACGCACAATACCAGCGATTAGGTTACCTTTGTGAAGAGAGTGGGGCGTACTAGACCACAATCAGCTGTGACAGTCTTGGTGACGGCCCAGGTAACAACGCCAACAGTTCTAATAAAACAATGCTTTCAATGAGCAATCGAGCAGAAATTTCAGGCTAAAAAAATAGTGCTATCACACAACCAAACTCGCCAAAAGATCAAATCTGTGGATTCAGAGATTTTGGGTGAATTTCCAGGATGAATTGTCAGCAAGACGCCAAACAGCCAGCCACAATCACAGTGGAACAGGTGATGTAGTTCAAACTGCGCTGGAGGCGGGGCTTTAAATAAGTTGAAGAATGTGGGGCAACACAGGAAGTGGGCCCGCAACAATAAAAGTCTTTACTAATTGACTAATTGCGGGTTACACAGACAATCTTTTAAGAACACTTAGGTAAATAGTGGTGAAACCAAAAACAACTCTGTCTCAACTGTTTGCAGAGAGCATCCATTCTCTTTATTCATCAGTTTGACCCTCTGTGCTCATGAAGATGTTACTGTGTTCCTTTGGCAACTAAGAAAATCTATTAGAAGTCATTTATTGACAGTGCAATAATTAGTCTTAACCAAACTAAATAACATTTACCTATAGCGTGCTTAGTGTTTTGATCTATTCACAAATTGTTGATAATGTGATTCTATGAATATGATTTATCGTTTTAGAGCCGAAGGAAAATTTCCACCTTGATAGATTAAATATATGCATATTACCACAAGCATATTGTGATAAAGTTCATTATTTTCCATAATGTAATGATAAAAATTAAACTGTCATATTTTAGATTCATTGCGCACCAACTGAAATATTTCAGGTCTTTTATTGTTTTAATACTGATGATTTTGGCATACAGCTCATGAAAACCCCTGTCTCAAAAAATTAGCATACTTCATCCAACCAATAAAAGAAATGTGTTTTAATACCAAAAAAAGTCAACCTTCAAATAATTATGTTCAGTTATGCACTCAATACTTGGTCGGGAATCCTTTTGCAGAAATGACTGCTTCAATGCGGCATGGCATGGAGGCAATCAGCCTGTGGCATTGCTGAGGTGATATGGAGGCCCAGGATGCTTCGATAGCGGCCGTAAGCTCATCCAGAGTGTTGGGTCTTGCATCTCTCAACTTTCTCTTCACAATATCCCACAGATTCTCTATGGGGTTCAGGTCAGGAGAGTTGGCAGGCCAATTGAGGACAGTAATACCATGGTCAGTAAACCATTTGCCAGTGGTTTTGGCATTGTGAGCAGGTGCCAGGTTGTGCTGAAAAATGAAATCTTCATCTCTATAAAGCTTTTCAGCAGATGGAAGCATGAAGTGCTCCAAAATCTTCTGATAGCTGCTGCATTGATCCTGCCCTTGATAAAACACAGTGGACCAACACCAGCAGCTGACATGGCTCCCAGACCATCACTGACTGTGGGGACTTGACACTGGACTTCTGGCATTTTGGCATTTCCTTCTCCCCAGTCTTCCTCCACACTCTGGTACCTTGATTTCTGAATGACATGCAAAATTTGCTTTCATCCGAAAAAAGTACTTTGACCACTGAGCAACAGTCCAGTGCTGCTTCTCTGTAGCCCAGTTCAGGCGCTTCTGCCGCCGTTTCTGGTTCAAAAGTGGCTTGACCTGGGGAATGAGGGACCTGTAGCCTATTTCCTGCACACGCCTGTGCATGGTGGCTCTGGATGTTTCTACTCCAGACTCAGTCCACTGCTTCTGCAGGTCCCCCAAGGTCTGGAATCGGCCCTTCCTCAGGGTCCGGTCACCTCTTCTCGTTGTGCAGCGTTTTCTGCCACACTTTTTCCTTCCCACAGACTTCCCACTGAGGTGCCTTGATACAGCACTCTGGGAACAGCCTATTTGTTCAGAAATTTCTTTCTGTGTCTTACCCTCTTGCTTGAGGGTGTCAATGATGGCCTTCTGGACAGCAGTCAGGTCAGCAATCTTACCCATGATTGCGGTTTTGAGTAATGAGCCAGGCTGGGAGTTTTTAAAAGTCTCAGGAATCTTTTGCAGGTGTTTAGAGTTACTTCGTTGATTCAGATGATTAGGTTAATTGCTCGTTCAGAGAACCTTTTCATGATATGCTAATTTTTTGAGACAGGGATTTTGGGTTTTCATGAGCTGTATGCCAAAATCATCAGTATTAAAACAATAAAAGACCAGAAATATTTCAGTTAGTGTGCAATGAATCTAAAATATATGACAGTTTAATTTTTATCATTACATTATGGAAAATAATGAACTTTATCACAATATGCTAATTTTTTGAGAAGTACCTGTAGTGTCCAAGGAACAAACGTGTCTGAAGGACAATCGATGACACCATGCACCAGCTGGACGAGTTCTGCTTGACTGACCAAATTAAATATGTGAACAATGTCCACTAGGTGTCACTAAGGCTCTATATTTTCACTTACAATTTAACATTGGAAAACTAAACAAAACTTAATGATGGAGTCAGCACACTGGACATTTGAATGGACAATTCTCTGTCCATTCAAATGCCTTCAGAAAGCAGAGCAATAATTTCTGAGACAGGTCTGAGGAAAATCTTGGCATGCCCTCCTTTTGTTATCTTCGCTTCTACCTGGTGTACGATCCTGTCGCTGCTTGGTAAGGTTTTCACAATGATCTCAATGGGCCAGTCGTTCCTGTGGGCTTGACTGTCTTTAAGCAAAACATCTCCCACCTTTATATTTCTTTCTTGCCGAGTCCATTTCCTGCGCACTTGTAGAGTGGACAACTATTCTTGTTTCCATCTCTTCCAAAATG